GTCCTGGTTTCGATTCTCAGGGGAACCACGCATCCCTGAAGCACCTCTGGTGTGGTAGCCTGTGTCGACTGCAAAGACTCACAAAGTAAATGTCCCCTTTATTATTATTATTAATATTATCATGAAAACTCAGTGTGATACTTCATTTAAAGATTAGACTTGAACTTGAACTGCTTATGAGTTCTGGTAAAAAAATACTTTTGTTTACTTGTGAGCGGATATAAAACAAAGCATGTCGTAGCAGTGTGCTCTGACTGCCAAAACAGGAGAGTCGCTGGAAGGAGTGAATTCAACACATTCTGATTGGTTTATAAACCCTATGACGACAGAGACAAGCTGGCTTTTTAGCCAGTGAGAATATGGCTTAAAGTGATATGCGCTAACTGTACCTTTTTTATACAATTACATGTTAGGGTCATGGTACTTCTGGGCTCCATTACATTACATTTTTGTCAGTAAAATATCTCTATTGCTTAGAACAGAAATTTGATATTTAAGACTGTTCCCCAGATGTTCACCCACTCACATGAACTCGCTGCTAGTGAATGATTTAATAAAAAAAATAATGTAATAAGTGTAAAGTCATAAAGTCTCTGTCGTTGGTTGACTGTCGAAGCGTATTATTCACAAGGACTGGACTTAGAGCCAGACCAGGAGTTGAAACCTTCAACCAAAACCTCCCATTTCAAACTAAATGTGAATCAAACTGTTTGTTTTCTATGCAGTCCAGAATCACTTCAACGTCCCACAGTTCTTAAGAGTGTCTGTTTTCATTTTTTCCCCTCTGCTCATCCCTTCTGTTGCATGTTTGGAGTCAAAACAAACCGACAACACAGCCAGTATGATATTGGTGCCAGATGTCAGTGAGAAAGACAGGAGACAGTTCCAAATAAAAATAACTGTGGAAGTGAGAAAGCACCAAATTTAACGACATACTGGAGGTGGACGACAACCCGATGTTGGTTTTGTATTCTGCAAATTTGCAGATTAAAACAAGTGATTACATGTTAGTGCAAAACGTTGGTCACACTGATGGAGTAGACTGAAAGTTTAGGGTCAGCTCTGATTCAAAACATCAGGTTGATTCTTCTCTGTGTTTAAAAAGAGAAAGTGAATTATGGAACACAGGAGACAGACCTTCATTTAAGTAGCCGACCAGCTATGTCTTCTTTTAGGATACATTTAATTTTTAAAGTTTTTTGGGCCAGAGTAGAGTTTCACACGTATTTTCCAAGTAAAAGTATTTTATAATTTTAGCCTGGTTATGTCATCATTGAGCTGTTCCTGTGACAGAGAATCAGGAAATACTGTGATGTTGTTTTTGTACTACTGAGGAACATAAGAATAAAAACAGCCTTTGATTAAATGTTAGTTTATCTAAGATAAAGAAAACTGAAGTATTATAACAAGTCAAGCTGCAAGGGTTTAGTTTAGAAATGACAGAATTTAAATATAAAAGTCTGGGTTCTCCAGCTTCAGTTGAATAATCACGAATATTTTTTTACATTTCCAAAATTGTAAATACTGGAGGTTATACTTTCATTTCTAGGACATTTTTTACAGCAATGCTGTAGTAATGTTTACACAGTTTCACTTGTATTTGCATTTCTAGAGAGCAGAAAACTACCAGCAATAAAAGGTGGAGCGCCTATTAACGTCGCATTTGTTTATCATTCAGGAACAATGACCTTGTTTTTACTCCACTTAAACTCTAGTTTAACGCTCTGCTGTGTTTGTTTGGTAAACACGGTGTAACAGGGTCTCAGTCTGGTTGGTGTAACACTGTAAAAATGTGTGTTATGTTCACTTACTCTGCTTTTATCTACATTAACGAGCAGAATTCACACATGGTTAACACCTCCACTATCCATGTAACAACCATTTACACATGGCCCACATGGACCCTGTAGAACAGGGGTACCCAACACCCGGTCCAGGGACCTACCGGTCATTTGGTACCGGGCTGCAGTGTGACACAGTGAAACAATGTACTTGAGTTTTACTAATTTACTTAATTCAAAAAGAATCCAGTCATATCCCTTTACTTTTGGTCGTTCAAAGATCACTGTCAATGTTTCAAAACAACAGGTCAAAGGTCATTCCTACTCTGATACAAACAGAATAAAGTTTTATTTTGAAAATGTAATGATCCTTTAATGATGGTGTGGCCGACTGGTCCTTGGTACAAAAAAGGTTGGGGACCGCAGCTGTTATAACAGCTAAATAATAGTAGGTCTTACTGGAAGCTACAGTATAACATTGTCCACAAACGTTCCATATCACATGTTGAAGGACTTCCGATGAACGGACGAAGCTTAACTTCATTTGAGCAAAGAATGTACGAGAAAACCATTGGACAGCATTCAGTGCCAGGTTAGTCAGCAACTTTTCTGTTTGTTTGTCGACCAACCAGTCAGCACGTGTATTTCCAGTTTTTGTGTATGTGTTCTGGGACAACGAACAGAAGAGGAGCTAACAATCACAAGCAGGAGCTAACATATTATTAGCTTGGAAGAACTTCACAGTGAGCCAAGAAAGTTCCACGCTCTGTATTTGTAACACATGTAACAATAGGTCAAACTTCGGGGGAGCTGCGGTGAAAATGTTCCCGATGACGATCCTACTCAGACACAACCGTCCATCCCAACATGCCCAGTTGGATGAGGCTAACAGACACAGACAAAAGACAGCTCCTCAAACAAGACACCATCAGAACATTTGGACAATTTCAGCCCTCACTTTTTCAGTACACCAAGAAAAATGTTTACAAAACTCCCAAAATTCCAGTTTGCTCATTAACCACTTCTGCTTTCTTGTTTATAAATAATTCTGTTTGATTCGGAACATCTGCCAATTGTATCCCATTATGTAAATTTTACAGCACAAATTACTGTCTGTGACACAGATTTTTTCAATGTTCAAAGAGTCATTTATGCATAATTATTTTAAAATTAGACTGCAAAGAGGAAAAAAAAACAAAGAACCATTTCTGGTTGTTGTTCACAGCGTCCCTGCGGTTCTATTCACAAGATATGCATGAACCACATGCTGGCTACAAACCAGGGGTACCCACTGGAGACCAGCGAGAGACCTAAATATAGAAATGCTAACAATCAATAGCTAGACAGTCAAGCAGAAAGCTGTTTGGGGGAGAGGGAGGCGGGTGAGAGACACAGAGGAAGAAAGATTGAGAGGGGACGAAGGGGGAGGGGGTGGGGGGGTAATAACATGAATGGTTGGCTGCAGCTGAGGTGTAATAAAGGTTTACTTGATGTGAAATGTGCAGAGAAAGGATCTGCGGAGCCTTTAGGTCTGAATATCAGATGGCTGGCTGCCCGGCTTCAACAATCCCCTCGCCATATGTGAGCAGACTGTGGTTACATTAACATATTTACCATCCCTGCAATATAAACACAGACAAAACAAACGCCACGGCAGCAGATCTGTTGTATGTGTTTGTTGTCTCGTTGGGTCATGATGTCAGTGATGATATTACTGTTGCTGGAATGTTTTTATTTTAGCACTTTAATCCAACAAGGCGGCCTAGAACACTTTAAGCTACTGTAGTACCTTGACTTTGTGGCAGTAGTACTGTACTGTATATGGTCAGCTTATATAGTGAGATTATTCATATTTAATCTGTGCAATACTTTGGTCACGTACATTAAACTGCCAAGAGTATATTTTCACTTCACACAACATACAGTATTTCCTTGCAATGATTATGATTATATATTTTCATAATGTATTTTTAAATGTTCATTTTCTTACACTATACTTCTTTAAAATACACATACACCTGTAACACCCTGGGGATTGAAGAGTATTTCATATTCTGAAATGTTTAGACAGACAGTGTCTCAAAGTAATAGCGGCACGATCAATATTTAAATACAACAGCTGAGCGCAGTATGCTGAGCCCAGCTGTACGTACAATGAAGTATTACTACCACGGCCAGGGAAATTCAATTCTTAAAACACACAAACACAAAAGCCAGTGAAAATATATAAAACAGCGACCTCAACATCACTTAATCCTACCAATATTCAGGATTAACCAGGTACCAAAAGTGGTACATGCACCACAGTTTGAATACAACCATTTCTGGTCCACGGCCCCCAAACTTTTTCCCGGGCACCTGATTGGTGAAGATGAAAATAGTGACCAAATTTACAGAAATAAGAGCCATTTATGAAGATTTATAAAAACACAATAGCATTTTAATACATAAAACCAGTCAAAACCAGTCACCAAATAACCAGCCTGTCAGTGTCATGTTTTCTTTAGATGTAATAAAAGCCCAAAACTCCACAGGCCCAACTGTAAAACCTGTATTTGGTATTAAATCCACATACAGTATCTGTGGCCCATACAGGTTCCAGTTTCCACAGGCACCACATACAACAGCTGACTGGAAACTGTTGTAAACTCTGTGAAAACATACTAACGGATGCCCAGCACCATGTCCAGCTACCCACACGAAAAACCATTATGGAAATAATCGACTCATATCCAGCGTCTTTATCAACTGACCGAGCTCTGGCTCCGTGTTCTTATGAACACAAAGCATAAAGACTTCGATATTTCGGTTCATCAATGGTAATTTATGGCAATAATAAACAATATCGCCACGTATCGCGTGCCATTCTCATACATGTCATGTAGCCCCCGCTGTGGCGTACAGACCTCCAACAGACCATTTTGCTCCCAGTACCAGCTGCCAAATACCCATAGTTTCCCACAGCACAGTAAAATCTCTCCTTTTACCAGTTCCAGAGCAGCAGTGTCTGCTTCAGAGTCTGAGAGCAGGCGTGTGATTTGAATAAGAGAGAGGGGAAAAAAAAGAAAACAGCAGAATAATGAAAGACATCTGAGTCTCATCTGGGCTGCAGCCGACACGGTGCGCCTGTCCGGCCCGTTAATGCCAAGCCATCCATTCAAGCGGTCGCACAGGGTGGGTGGGTGGGGGGGTAGGGATTTTTTTCTTCTTCTTTCTTACCAATTTTTATTTTAACGCTCTGGAACACCCGGAGACCTTCCTCCTCTACCGCCATGCTTCCACCGAGGCTCGGTCCCTTTCAGCGGCTAGAGAAAGTCTCTCCTCCACGGTTGTCGGTTCTGGCCTCTCCAGAGCACGGATAATCCAGGGCTTTTGCACATCTATGCGCTCCGGACAGCGATCACACTCCTGCCCCGCTACGCTGCTGCTGCTGCTGCTGCTGTTGGCTGGGTAAGAACAAGCGGGGCTGGCTCCAGAGCAGCGGCAGCAGCGGCGGCAGCGGCGTCGTCAGTGGGGGCGTGGCTCCACACTCACCGCCCACACACGAGTATGGAGGGTGTTCGGTGGCTTTTTCATAGACTGTACATCCGAAATGGGGGGTTGCCCTCCTGCCTCAGAACATGGTTGCATTACAGCTTTAGTTTTGACTTAGTCTTAGTTTTAGTCTTTTGACCAAAGACTTAGTGCCAATGACGTCAGTAGGACTTTTAGTCAATCAGAATAAAATTAGGGATTTCAATAAAATATTGTGTTTGGTTCAGACTTTTATCACAAATACTATTGAGATGAATGAACGGAATACTTTGATCAAATCCTTATTTTGGCACTCGTTCCTCCGACACAGTCCTACTTCCTCATTTTACATTTGCAAACTGACTAAAATACACTCTATAGAGGAATAGAGGAAAGACAACGTGGATGGACTCCCCAATCATCCAATCACAGACTTGTCAGGCGTTTACAAACAAAGAGTCTCGAGGTATTTCAAGTATTAACACAATACAAATGTACTGCACACTCTGTGTTTGTCGCTTGGTTCCTTCTCTTATATCTGTCTCAAATTGTATTTGTTTCGGCATAGCGTAAAAACATGACAGGTCTACAGGATTAGATTTACTAGAAGACAGACAACTAATGAACGGTATTCAAATTGCACTGCACAGCACCCCCTGCAGGGGATGGAGGGAGGGAAGGGACGAAGGCTGCATGCTTTGTGTTTACCAACAATTATGTAAAATCCGAAGTACACAAAGAAACTACAGTCACTGTCATGGAGTGTTTAACTCCTTGAGTTAAAAGGTCTTGTCACTACGATATCCACACCAGAGTCAATAATAATAAATTACAGAGAGATATACTATATACTATACTATATAATACATATAAAGTGAGGTCGAGAATTTGTCAAAAATCAGCTCCCGAAGTATTTGATCAGATGAAGGTTTGTCAAGTACTGGCTCAGAGTAGTGAATGATTTAAGAAATATAAGCAAATATAAGATCGGTCAAACTCGATCACTACACTGTTGTGTGTATGCCAGCATTTGTTGTACACCCACCAACTGAGACAAAGCCTTATCTGTGGCAGCTCAGTGAGTCTGTGAGGTCTTGTCCCCTACATGGGCCCCACGTGCTGCAGCAGGGCCCAGTTTCCACTGGAACTCCTGTGATTGTTTCCTACTTCCGATACTAAAGAGAGCTGTTGCATGAAAGAGGCAAAAACGCATTCATGCTGCTATTTATCAGCAGCGCATGAACTACGGCAGTGACTGCTGGACATTAATGAGTCGAATACTACAGTACACAGCAAGTCCATTCATAGCATAACACCACAGGACATAATGCCATAAAAAATGAGTTCCTCATATAAAAATCTCATGTTGTAATATTTGTTTCACCGGCTCTTAAACGCAAGACAATAAAACATTCAAAATGACCTTTTATAATGGTAATAACGACGATAATGTTATATCACTTCATTGCACCTTGTCCCATGTGTCTGCACTGAACTAGGTCTGTGATAAAACCAGAACTAAGAATGATTATAACAATCTCTTTAAGACAGTCAGCAAACAATACACAAATAGTTCCAGTGATCTTTTTTTAGCTGTCACTGATCTGGGGTCAGATTTTACAGGTGGCTGAATGGACAAGGTGACGTCCTGCCCAGAGGGAGGGTTGTCTGGGAAGGATTAACGATTCATTAAGGTGAAAGGTTCAAGCGCCAACATCCACCCACGCTTGAGCTGATTGGGCCACACCTGCAGGATCACTGTGATCTCATTCCAAACCATGACTGTGATCTGTAGTGCTGTGTGTACCCAGCTGACCTAGCCTACGACAACAGTGACAGGGACTTGAAGTATACAGTGAAGGATTTAACAACATCTGGTTGCACATAGGTAACACTTTTTAGCCATTAAAACGCACATGCTAGCTGGTCTTCTGTGGGCTGAGGTTTTATATACCAGTTCTGCTTAATTAATATGGCTTATGAAATATCAACACCTAAACGGTTCAATGTTAAGAGCCCTCTGTTGTTGGCCTCAGTGTTTCTGTTGTGGTCTAAGGTGCTGGGATTAAATCGAACATTTTTAGAACAGCTCTAAATCTAATCAGCTAAGGTGGCTCAGCACTCCTGTTACCTGTCAGACCTTCACCCTTGAAATGTCTCTGACCAAACGGTGAAAAGGAAAAAGGATTTAAAAAACCAATAGTGTCTTAGAATGTTTTTCACCCGAGTCATTTTAATAGCCCCACTTTGTGTTTCGTGCTGCTGTGCTCATTTATAGCGACTACGGCATTAGAAGAGTCAAAAGCTGAGGGGAGGGTCAGGACCAGTTCACTGCTAAGACCAGGATTTCACATTTGTTGGCTTATTCTCTTATATCCAAAGGCACCTGTCAGTCTTAAATGTAATTTTTATGATGTAATAATGTAATATGTAATGCAATATAAATAAACTGTAACTGTAAACGGCATGTGTAGCATGCCCTATGGGGGAGGGGCAAACATTGAAACCATGCATTCAAAATTCTTGTACACCCTCTTCAATATACCCCATTCAATCAATGCAGCTGACAACTAGTAACTATAATTTGCACAACATTAAGTCAAATTTAATATGTTCATTTATTGTCTTTTTTAAAGCCTAAGGAAGCCACAGAAAAAAAACTAAGGTAAAATTCAAAAAAATCTTTGGCAGTGCTTTTATATTTGATAATCTAATTCTGATTCCTAAAGCTAAGCTACGTTCATATGAGTGAAAATATCTGTTTACAGTAACACGAATAACTTGTATTTGCCATTGGCCACATCCTGTCAGGTGCATGTTTGTGCAAAACAATGAAGGATGGGTGAGACCGCTGACCTTGAACATTATTTTCGGTAAATAGAGAACTGTTGCAAAACTAATGTTTTTTTTAAATTTTATTTTGTAGAAGCAATTCAAACAGTACTACAAACTGACTGGTGGCAAGAAAAGCAAATGTTTGGTTTGCAAAGAAAACAAAAGCTACAGAAGAGAAACTTTTTGTCGCTGTAAGAAAAATGCCATATAGAAAGTTTTTTTTTAAAGATTTAGCCAAAGTGACTACACCCTGTGGTAAACACTAAACCACAAACCAATGATGTTTGTGTGTGTTCTGGACGTGTGTTTGAGTGTGTGTAGGCTGATGTAAACCCACTGAGGAAATGAGGAAGAAAAGAGAGATACAGACTCTAGAGAAAGAGGACGCGCTCTTTTTTCATTAAACTGCAGTTTCCCTGGTACGTCAAACAAGTATTCTAACGTACAGAGTATTTACATGAGCAGTGATAAAAAAAAAACAGAGCACAGAGATGAATACCTGACACATGCCAGTGACACCCCGCTTTTCTGTACATTATTGGGTCTCTACACAAAGAGGTCTACAATCAAAAATTCAGATGCATTAAAGATATGATGATTAAGAAGTGAGGCACAGTTATCATATATATAACATATATATATATATATATATACATACATACATACATACATATGTATGTATATATATGTAGATAGTTATCAATTTGCATATGCAACATTTATGAATGACTTTCAGGAGAGGGGAGAAACCAAACCCAAGCTTTGCACAGAAAGTGTCTGTTTAAATTTCTAAAATGTTCTGCAGAAAATATACAGTGGCTGTCAGATACTAGTGTCCTGCAGCACCATCTAGTGTGCAGCCCTGTAAATAATAATTTTCTGTGAATAATCAAATTCACAGTTAAAAGGATATTAGTACAAGGTCAAAAGTTACCTAAATTAAATAACATTTAGGAGGAAAATAATGACTTTGTCTGAATTTTTCATCCTGTATTGTACGTTAGCTTGAGGACGTTTAATTTTTTTACGGTATGTCATCAAACGATACTGTTGTTAACATTACTTCTTGGTGTGTTTTTATTAAAACCAAGCTTTAAACCTTAATATTTAAAAAGCTGAATTCATACAGGGCAAGGAGCAGGTTTTACGAAGAACGGATTCACTGACTGAAAAGAGTTACTAGTGGAAGACTGAATTAATATGAATAAAATGCACAGAAATAGCACTTTGACAGCTGTTGGGACGAGGAGCCTTGTACTGTTAGTGTATGAATTAGCCACACAGTCACCCCCACGAAGAAGACTTAGTGTTAATACAAAACAAACAAAAACAAATGCTCGATTTACCTTCCATTTAGTTCAAGTTAAAGCAAAATATTACCCTAATGTTACATAATGTACCTTTAAATCCCATAACACCCATAACACATTCTCTCTCTCTCTCTCTGTGTATGTCTCTCTCTCTCTCTCTGTGTATGTCTCTCTCTCTCTCTCTGTGTATGTCTCTCTCTCTCTCTCTGTGTATGTCTCTCTCTCTCTTTCTCTCTCTCCACGTCTGAGTGTCTCTCGTGTCCTCCCCATTTCCCTGCTTTGTTTTCATTGTCGCTCTCTGAACATGGCTACTCACTCTACCGAAGAACCGTTCCCCTTCCACGGACTGCTACCCAAGAAAGAAACCGGCGCAGCTTCTTTCCTCACCAGGTTCCCAGAGTACGATGGCCGTGGCGTGCTCATCGCCATCCTCGACACCGGTGTGGATCCCGGGGCCCCCGGCATGCAGGTACACACCGGCCGGCAGCTGCACGTTAGTCAGTCTGGAGCTGGCGGAGCTAAAATAGGCCCAGCTCATTCACATCATTCACGGCTCCCACTGTGAACAACATCGACACGAACACAGTGGCAATAATGTGAACACCATCTGTGACAACTATGTCAACATAAAGAATTCTGTTTCGAACATTCAGAACGAATTTAAAACGATTAATATGCTGTTGCATACATTTAAAATTAACTAACGGTCACTGCTAATACTTCATGCTAGCACGTTAGCCCCACGGACTGTGAGTTTTGCCCTGGTGTCAGTAAATACACTCACCTCCCTGGTGGTTCATTGTCTTTAATTTTACGCGAAATAAGTTATATTAAGGCAAAACAACGTAAAATTAAAAGTTTGTTCATGTAACAAGGAATAATCAGCTGCATAATAACTGCTAAGTCACTGGAGTTGTACTACTGTACAGGACAGTTGTTGGCCAACGTTTCATCAGTGCTTTTACACGGAGAAAATTAATAGGAAGCAAACTGATTCAATCTTTAGGCAGGAGCACAATTATTCCATTAAACGTAGACATATTAACAAAAAACACAACATTGTTTTTTTACATTCTGTATTATGTGTTCTAGCTACCGGGATTTGTTGTAATTAAATGTAACACAGCCTAACACTTGAGCCCTATAAAGATACATTGATTTAGCTTGTCAAAGATATCGGGGACGCCTGAGAGACATGTCTTAACATGTCGGCCTTGATTATTAAAACATCGTTCAAAATTATACAATTTCTCTGAATATCTGAGTGTTTTTGGTTTACCTTTTGTATCTCTAAATATATTTTTTATGACAAATCCTTCACAGATTTGTTATCGGTTTTAGGGCCAATGTATTTGTACTCAAATGGGTCAGTACTTACTTTGGTGCTCAGGGGGTGTTTTGATTTACCTCCCGATGCTGTATTCAAAGACAAAATGACAACAGCTGAATGTTGTTGATGACAGCTTTGCTCTTAACGCCTCTCCCGTCAATCCAAACATAGGCCGTATCTCTAGTTTGATACTTCAAATAGTTCTAGTTTTGTGCTATTTATAAGTGATGAACACCACTATAAGATATCATTTTAGTCTGAATCATCGTTGTCCATGTCATATGGAACATTCCTGAGAGGTGTCTTGTCAACAGAATGTTATAGAAATGTAGGGGATTCTGTTGAGCAGACATCTACTGTATATTGACCATAGGTGTGAATGTGAGTGTGAATGGTTGTTCTCCCTAAAAGTGACCGTATGATGGGGCTCTAACTAACCTTAACTATCATAAATAAGTAGTAGTAGTAGTAGTAGTTTTGGAATTTAGTTAGTTAGTTAGTTTTTGGATTGAAATATAATAGAAAATTGATTAGAAGAAAATAAACTAGCAGTTAAGTGTTCTCCAGATTGGTGTTCTTTATCCGTACGCTGCTTGTCTCCCTGTCTCCCTGTCTCTGTTAGAGCTTTGTTAAAATGTTATGGTGACACCCTAGTCCAAAGATTTCTTTTTCCAAATAGAGACATAAAGAAGCAACCTACATCTGTGATGTCGCAGTTAAAAGAAATTGATAATTTTTGAAAAACAGCTTAAAATAAATTTTTGTCATAAATGTGTGTCATATGTGTTTGAAGTTGCCTTTCCAGTAATATGAACCTGAATAAGTTCTTTTTTTGCTACTTTATTAAATGTATTACTGTACTAAATATGTATTGATTTTTTTTCTTTCTCTAGGTCACAACCGAGGGCAAGCCAAAGATCATTGATATCATCGATACCACGGGCAGTGGTGACGTGAACATGAGTACAGTGGTGGAACCTAAAGATGGAACAATCACAGGCCTTTCTGGAAGAACACTCAACGTAAGCAGACACTGTACATTACTATAGTACAACAGAAATTTTATATTCAGACCCCTCATCGAGGACCAAGCTTGCTTCTTCTTTCAGCCCAAACTTGATGTGTATTTCTGTCTCGTCTTTTTATATTGTTCAGATTCCCTTGGCCTGGGTCAATCCGTCAGGGAAGTATCGCATTGGAGTTAAAAATGGCTACGAGTTCTTCCCTAAGGCTCTTAAAGAGAGAATACAGGTGGGATGATGGGAAATTATTTCTGCTTTACCGTCAGCTGATAGTTTTCCGTTTTTCAAGCAGAAATTGTACAAAATAAGACATTGCTTGATAACTTTACTTGGAAGAAAAGCTTTAAGAATATTTTGTTTCATTAAAATTACTAAACTGACCTGTTTTTTATACCTTTTTAATAGTCTGTAAATATCTTGTATACTGATGTGTTATCTCTGCCCACTAGAAAGAGAGAAAGGAAAAAATGTGGGACCCATCACACAGAACAGCACAGGCTGAGGTGGCCCGCAAGACAGAGGAGTTTGACCTGTCCCACCCCACACCCTCCCAGGTTAGACCTTCAAGTTTGGTGTTCAAACTGGTGATGGACTGGCCTTTCATTTGTATGTTTTTTGTATGTTATTCCACATTGTCTGTATCTTGTTTGCATCACATAGATGGAGAAGTTGCAGAAAGAAGAGTTACAATGTCAGTCGGAGCTGCTAGCATCGCTAGAAAAGAAGTACACTGATCCTGGTCCAGTGTACGACTGTGTGTTATGGAATGATGGCAACACATGGAGGTAACCACGCCACCGTCTGTCTTTATCAGAGAAGTTCTGCTTCATGTTACTCACCTGATTGTTTTGTAGGGCTGTAGTGGACACGTCCGAGTGTGGAGAGTTGTCCCAGTGCACGGTGCTGAGCTCCTACAGGGAGACACAGCAGTACGCCACCTTAGGGAACGCAGAGATGCTGAACTACTCCGTTAATATTTATGATGAGGGGAACACACTCTGCATCGTCACAAGTGGAGGTAATGTGACCCTAACACGCCGCACATACAGTGGCTCATGGAAATAAAGCTGTCCAGTCTATAAGCTTTACTAACTTATCCTGTGTCAGAGGTCAGGTGTGTGTACAGAGTAGTTTTTGGAAGTGAGTTCAGTTCACTACATCCTATCACTTTCCTTGGGGCAGTCAAATGAATGCGTTTCTTGTCTGATTAATCACAGAGTAGCTATGGATTAAGTACGATGAATCGTGATTAATCATGATTGTAATTAAGCGTGATTAATCAAGGTTAGTCCAGACAAAGAACTTTATTAAATATGATACAAAATATGCTTTATAATTCTGAAACAGACAGACCAATGTCAGCAGGTAGAGGTCAGTGTTTCTCATTTGTTTTTATCTGCTCTGACACCTTCAACCAAAACAAAAATTGGCATATAAACAAGGTATGCCTCATCTTTGTTGTTAAAGTTTAATGTTTTTTGTTTTAACTTAATTTAATGTGTCTTCATTTAAACCCTCAATCAGAACAGACAATGTTGTCATGTGTGTGTCAACCTCACCTCCTGTTTATCGTTCTTTGTGCTGCTACAGGGGCTCATGGGACACATGTGGCAAGCATAGCAGCAGGTTACCTTCCAGAGGAACCAGAGCGCAATGGCATTGCCCCCGGTGCCCAAATCCTTGCTCTGAAGATTGGAGACACGCGACTCAGCACCATGGAAACAGGGACAGGACTTATCCGCGCGGTTCGTGCCCACATTTGAATGTCCTTTAACTGTGGAAATCATTCAACTATATTTAAACCATCTGTTTTTATATCTTTGTCCCTAAAAGATGATCGAAGTCATCAACTACAAGTGTGACCTGGTGAACTACAGCTACGGCGAGGCCACTCACTGGCCAAATTCAGGGTCCGTATGGTTGCAGAGAAGCATTTTTGACTTTTTGAGTAAATTTGTTGTTGTACAAAAATGTATTTTTTGGCCTTCACGTTAGAGATGTTACAGAAAGAAAATGTCCGATGATATGTTGAATATTTTCATGAATCAATTTCACATTTTGATGACCTGACTGCAGAAGATCTAATAGCAGTGAAGTCTGTGTGTTTATAACATTAAAGAAGTGACGTTAAATATTGCGGTATTGAAGTATGTAAATCTTTGTTTTAGAGTTCATATCTCAACCAGCAGGTGTTTGTTTTTATCTAAATGATCTGAGTTTAGACCAAAGATAAACACACTGAACTACTGAATTTGTGAAGGACAAACTAAGCTAACACAGTGGTCCATTTGTCCTTCAGGAGGATCTGTGAAGTGATCAACGAGGCTGTACAGAAGCACAACGTCATATTTGTTTCAAGTGCAGGAAACAACGGTCCCTGTCTGTCTACAGTCGGCTGTCCAGGAGGAACCACTAGTAGTGTCATAGGTACACACACACACCCACACACTTAGACCTGCACATGCATGGAATGTACCAGTAAACACACTAGAAGCGAGTGATGCTGGGAAGAAACTGAAACTTATCGTGACTGTTGATTTGACAATAGGCTTGTTGTTGGATTTGAATTAAATCAAAGCCAATGTTTTCACAGAATTTAATGCAGATATGAAAAACTGCTGTCAAATATGTGAGGTTAGGAGATGAACCTGTAATTTTAACTTTGATTGATTTATCACCTCTGTTTTGTCCTGAGGTGTGGGAGCGTACGTGACCCCAGACATGATGGTGGCAGAATATTCGCTGAGGGAAAAGCTGCCCCCAAACCAGTACACCTGGTCGTCCAGGGGCCCCAGTACAGATGGAGCCCTCGGGGTCAGCATCAGTGCCCCTGGTGGTGCAATCGCATCGGTTCCCAACTGGACGCTGCGAGGTACTCAGCTGATGAACGGCACGTCCATGTCATCGCCTAATGCCTGTGGAGGCATCGCACTAATCCTCTCAGGTTAGTCCACGCTTAGGGACTAATATACAGTGGCTATAGATATGTGGATATACACAGTATGTGATATTGTCTTGACTCTGTGTGTTTGTTTATGTTTGTGTATATGTTTTATGCGCATGAAGGACTGAAGCAGAATGGCATCAGTCCGTCTGTTCCTGTTGTGAGGAGAGCTCTGGAAAACACAGCCTTGAAAGTTGAGGACATTGAAGGATTTGCACAAGGCCATGGAATAATCCAGGTACCAAGACCTCGTCACACAGGTCTTACTTTTTAATTTGATGTTCCTGGTTTTATTCTAGCTCTGAGTTTTGCCTTTGTCTCCAACTTCAGGTAGAAAAGGCGTTAGACTACCTCACTCAACATGCGTCTTTACCCACAAGTCACCTCGGCTTCTCAGTAAGTGTGGGACAACAGAGAGGCATCTACCTCAGGGACCCGAGCCAAGTTCTTGCCCCTTCAGACCATGGAGTAGGGATCGAACCGTGCTTCCCAGAGAATGCAGGTACTGTTGATACTTTTCAGGAGAACTGTTTTATTTACCATATAACAGTAGAAGGTTATCAAGGCCACGGAAGCCAAGGTTCTAACAATACCCCCAGGTTCCACAAGAGCCTGAAAAGTAATTGAACCATTGAAGAACATTTTTCCTCAGCTTACAGCTGTCACAGCATCTCACATGACTTTACAAACCAGTCAAATTGGTTTATCAAGTCAGAGCGGCTCCCTAGTGTCCATTTGACTTTGCCCTGCTGTAGAAACTGAAAATGTCCTGCACAAGTCCTGGAAACTACTACAATTCTGTCTGTTCCTTGTGCTTTTCATATTCATTACAGAAAACTCTGAGAGAATCTCCTTGCAGCTTCATTTGGCCCTCACGTGTTCTGCTCCATGGGTTCAGTGCCCGTCCCACTTAGAGCTGATGAACCAGTGTCGTCACGTCAACGTCCGCATCGATCCTGTCGGCTTACGAGAGGGAGTTCATTACACGGAGGTACAGACCAGAGTGGGAGGAGACAAAAAATAGGATGCATAATCTGTAACATGGCACTCATCATTATCAATCTGTTGATGTAGGTTTGTGGCTATGACACAGCAGCGTCCTCCTGTGGTCCACTCTTCAGAATCCCGATCACTGTTATTGTTCCGGCCAAGTGAGTTGTTAAGAATGTTTTTTTTGTTGTTTTTTTTATTGTCGTTTTTAAAATGTATTTTTGGTCTTCTTTTTGTTCCAATAGAGTTACAGACAGTCGTCATCAGGAAATGTGTTTCAAAGACGTGCATTTCAGATCCGGGCAGATCAGGCGCCATTTTATCAGCGTTCCTCAGGGAGCCTCCTGGGCAGGTCAGGTTCACACTATTCCCTTCATTTTATTTCACTCCTGTAAATGAGAAATACATGTTGTAAAAACATTACCAGGATTCTCTATTACAACAAACAGCAGACTCCTGCACTCACCCCCCTCCCCCATCTCCCTCCTGCAGAGATCACGCTGACATCTCATTCAGGAGACGTATCGTCCAAGTTTGTCCTCCACGCAGTACACCTTGTCAAACAGAAGGCGTACAGAGCTAATGAATTCTACAAATTCTCCTCACTGTTGGAAAGAGGCTCTCTGACCGAGGCCTTTCCTGTTCTGGTGGGTATTTCTTTGTAGAACATAAAACACACTCACCCCAGCAGTGAGTGTAATTAAATCTGTTACTAAAGGTTAAAATCATCGTTTTAGCCATAACTATCTTCTACGTTGTACAGGCTGAATGTTTACGCACTTCATAACACCACACCTGTCAGTAAACTCTTCTGTTGTTTAAGAAATTTTAATTTTATACGTTAGCCTATGTTTAAGAAATTTTAATTTTATACGTTTATACGTAGCCTAAAAACATAGGCTAGCTATAGTATACTAACTACACTAACATAACACGCTAACAAGTTCAACAAGGTTCTGATCTTATTCCTCATCACTGAGTCCACGCATCCTCTGTGTGAAGACTGAGCTTTGGCAACTCTTTTAATGTGTCCGACTCAGAGCATCAGTTCCACTTAGTCCATTCGTTTCTGCTGCTGCAATGTTGTTTTTGACTGAATACTCTGAAATCTGTGTTTAAACCAGACTACCTTTTAAGATATAATCTGCCTTAGAACTTTCTGACCCTGTTATTTCTTATGATTTCATGCTGGACTTTCTCTGTGTGTCTTGTCTCCTTCAGTCTGGTAAAATCATAGAGTTGTGCATTGCCCGCTGGTGGGCGAGTCTGGGTGACGTCGTGGTGGACTACAGCATCTCCTTCCATGGCCTCCGCACTTCTCCTTCCCCACTGCACATAGTAAGATGAGCAGCAGAGCTGTGAAATTAAGCTGCCAACGTGTCAATATTCTTTATAACTGCTGCCTGTTTTTACCCAGCATGCCTCAGAGGGGGTGACGGGTTTTGATGTATCGTCACCGCTGAGGTACGAGGAGGTGTCGCCGACAATTACCCTGAAGTCCTGGGTCCAACCTCTGAGGTGAGCAGATAGACTCGTGCAGCCGTGCTGTAATTGGTGCTGACAAATGATTGAGGTTTTCATGGTGATTAATTCAAAAAATCTGGATTAATTGTGATTGTAATTAATAATGATTAATTAACATCTATTAAACATTTGTTTTTCTGTTACTGGTGCAGAAAGATAAATATCAGTAGGTAGAGGTCACTGTTTCTCACCTTTTTGTATTAGTGACTAAGACAAATGATGGGATTATTAATCTGGAAAAATTTCAGGAAAAATCTTAGAAAATCATAGTGTCTGTCGTGTTTAACACGTCAACACCTGCCAAGTTCTAATGTCATTCACTGTGTAACCCTTGGTCTTGCTGTGATTGTAGACCTGTCAGTTCAAAGATCAAAGCCTTGGGTTCCAGGGACGTTCTCCCCAACAGCAGACAACTTTATGAGATTGTGCTCACCTACAGCTTTCACCAGGTACTGACAGAACACAAGAGAATTCACAGACAAAAGAAGGTCAGTTTGCTCACACTTGTCAACCATCCTGTCCTCAGCCCAAGATTGGAGAAGTTACCCCCAGCTGCCCCATGCTCTGTGAGCTGCTGTACGAGTCTGAGTTTGACAGTCAGCTGTGGATGCTGTTTGATCAGAACAAGAGGTTACTGGGCTCGGGAGATGCTTACCCACACCAGGTACTCACATCGAAATATCTCTTCAAATGCAGGTTAAAGGCATCAGATGTGGAGAACTAAAATGTAATTGTTAATTTCGTACCAACAGATTTAACCACCTAGTTCTTAAACCATCCCTAATTACAGAGATGCAATGTTAGGCTAAGTCTCAAACCACCCTGAAAACAATGCAACATCTGTTGTATAGTATTATATGAAAGAAATGTTATGGTTGTTTGTTATTATCATATTAATTAGATCAGAAAAAAAATAAAAATCTCTATCCCCTCCACACAGTACTCCCTAAAGCTAGAAAAGGGCGACTACACGGTGCGCCTGCAAGTCCGTCACGAGCAGTGCAGTGAGCTGGAGCGCCTGAAGGACCTGCCCTTCGTGGTGTCTCACCGCCTGTCCACCACACTCAGTCTAGATGTTTACGAGACACATCGCGCAGCTCTCATGGCCAAAAAAAAGGCGAACTCCGTCACCCTGTCTCCAGGTGCCATCCAGCCGTTCTACGTCACATCGCTGCCAGATGACAAGTAGGTCCAACTGGTGATGTTATATATAGAGTCCTTCTTTCAGTCCCTCCTAACCTTTTTGTTCCTTTTTTTCAGGATCCCTAAGGGGACCAGTCCAGGCTGCTACCTCTCAGGGTCACTCGTCGTCCCCAAAAGCGAGTATGGCAAGAAAGCAGTGAGTGTTCCTTTTTACTTTTGGTTTAAATCAGCCCCAGTCTTTAGGACCCAACATCATCGCAGTCAGATTGTAGCATATTATAATTGTAAACAATCACAGATGATTTAATTTATCCTAATGGTGTCAGGCTGAAGTTCACTGAGAATTTAGGAAAGAATTCTAAATTTGTTTTCCTGGAGAAAATACAAGAAGTCACATCATCATCACCTAATACAATTAGTATTTCCTATTGTAAAAAACACAAACTTAGTGCTGAAGGGTTATGTTTGGTTTCACATGTTTTTATTCCTCTAACTGTCCTTCAAATATTTATGAAAAATGTTCAAAACAAAACATCAGTTTTACCTTGCCACAATTTCTAAACCGCTATTTATTTTAAAACACACAAAGTATTTTTAATACACAGACATCGATGATAAAACCTATTCTATACGTTACCTCTTTAGGGTGTAAAAATCCACCTGTGATCAGTTACTATTTATTTTTCTCACCTGCGGTACTAGCATGTCATTTCGTCCGTCTTATTTATACACAGGCTGCTAACACTAGGACTGTTGGGTCCATTGGATTGAACTCACGAGTCAGACTTCATCTGTGGTGTTGTAAATGTTTACCTAAATGTAAATGCATAATAACTGACTGAATGACTTGTTATATAACAAACACAGATTTGATCCACAGTTCTGTAAATACCACCAAGGCATCTGTGTGTTGTAAAGTGTGTTTAGGTTTGAGACAGATGCCCCCTTTGGAGAGGGCAGATCAGATGAAGACAGCAAATCCTCTTTGGTGTGTTTGTGTTGTCTCTTCCTCACTGTGTTATTCTGACCACCAGGGGCAGGCCTCTGCAAAACGACAAGGAAAGTTTAAAAAGGTACTTAGAAACAATGATCTGTCACAGCTCAGACACCGTGTGGGAAATATTTGACTTTATGATGGGGTCTGCTGTATGTGCATTCATCATTTTCAAGCATGTTGGTGTACTTGAGAAATATACACCGGTGTGGTGGTCAGTAAGGTGTAATGTATTCATAGCTAATACACATGGAGTAAAACAAAGTTTTCTTATTGGATCAAGGGAAAGAACCAGAAAGAGGAGGTCTGTAGTTGGAGACTTAGAAACTGGTGATGCTCCTTCCTGTCACTCGTTGGTGATTTAATACAGCCGTTGAACTGTTGTGTTCCTACAGGACATTGTCCCAGTGGTGTACCATTTAATCACGGCTCCCAATAAATCAAAGAACGGAGGGAAGGAGAAGGACAAGGAGGGAGACAAAGACAAGGATGCGAAGGAAGAGTTTGCCGAAGCCGTGAGAGACCTGAAGATTCAGTGGATGACAAAGTCTGTACAGCTCCCATCTGTTTGTCCGGCCTCTCACCACTGGCTTTAAACCTGTGTTCGTTTCACTTCAGGTTAGAGTCCGGGTCCATCTATGAAGAACTGATAGAAAGCTACCCAGATTATCTTCCTCTGTACGTTCAAAGGCTGCACCAGCTGGACTCAGAGAAGGTAAGCCCTGTCGGAAAATCTGACGGCTGCTCCTACAAAACGTCAAGAATCTACGTTCTCACAGTCGCTTTCCCCTCTAACCAGGAACGTGTCAAACGTCTGAAGGAAGTGGTTTCAGCAGCAGACATTGTCATCTCCCACATCGACCAGACAGCACTGGCCGTTTATTTCACCATGAAGACGGACCCTCGGGCTGAAGCCGCTTCAATTAAAGTGTAAGTAAAACCCAAGAGGGAACGTTGACTGGCTGTATATATGTAAATATATTGTGGTAAATATAAATATCCTCTGTGTTTTAGTGACATGGAGAAACAGAAGTCATCTCTGCTGGACGCACTGTGTAGAAAAGGCTGTGCTCTGGCAGACCAGATCTTGCTGCCCACTGTCCCTCCACAAGAGGGTGCTGGTGCCCCTAATGCTGTGCATGTAGCAGCAGACGTAGTGGAAGTGGCAGCAGCAGAGGAGGGTGTGGAACAGGTGTCCTGCAGCTCTGATGAATCTCTTCACAATGAGGCCAAGGCTCTGATGGATACTTTTTGGGAAGTGCAGAAGTGGGCGGAGCTAACAGACTCTAAAGTGAGTGACAGGATTTTCAATCAAAACGTTCCTTAAGTTATATTGTTTAATTTCATCAGTTATTTGAGAACATGTTATTTTTTTCTGTTTAGTGTCTAAAACACATGCTGATCGTCTAATTGTATTCCCTCCTCATTACTGAAGGTCCTGATGTTTTCGTATAAACACGCTCTCGCAAACAAAATGTACGGCCGAGCCTTGAAGTATGCCTCAAAGATGGTGGAGGAGAAGCCCAGCAAAGAGAACATGAAGAACTGCTTCCAGGTATAACACAGGAGACCTCTCCAACATTCAAAACAGTGTAGTGTACAGCAGGGGTTTTGTTAAAGGACTTCATCATCATCATCATCCTCATCATCATCTAAATGTCATCTTCACTGACCTGTGTCTTGTTTTTGTTTTTCAGCTGATGAGACATCTACGATGGACACACTGTGCTACCTTCAGTGAGAACTGGCTCCCTGTTATGTTCCCCCCTGACTACACACCTTTCTAGGCTCTCTCACACACACACACACACAGTCACACACTCACACACACACCCCCACACACACACACACCCCCACACACACACACACCCACACACACACACAGTCACACACTCACACACACACCCCCACACACACACACACCCACACACACACACACCCAGTCCCACACTCACACACACACCCCCACACACACACACACCCACACACACACACACCCACACACACACACAGTCACACACTCACACACACACCCCCACACCCACACATACACACACACACACACAGTCCCACACACACACACCCCCACACCCACACATACACACACACACACACAGTCCCACACTCACACATACCCACCCACACAGACAGACAAACAGTCATGAAGAGACAGCTTTGCCATACACTGTCAATCACGTTGGAAGTCCTGTACGACGTCCCTCAGGGTCTCACCGTCTATGCACTCACTCTGGACACAAAACCAATCCATCTCAATGGTCTGATGCACTGCATGGCTTCTCATGTGGACGCCCTGAGTCCACGGTGTTGTCCAACCACGTAGCTGCATCGGCCACGAGCTGCAGATGTTCTTGCTCCAGCATGGTGACACAGTAGTTCAGTAGAACCCCAGCTGTCTTTACGTCCTTGTCCTCGTCACGTACTAAAGCTTACGACCCCACCTATCCCCCGTCGCTGGCTGGACGCTGGACTTTCAACAAAAGATAAGCTCAGTGGCAGCTGTAAATACCCCCCAAAAATACTCCTAGAGAACCGTGACCACTACACACAAACACAACAGGACAATAGCAGATGGAGATGATGGAAAGAGTCTGACTGCAGACGTTCGGACTCTTGAGGAATCCGGTCACAGATTTTGAAATAGAAACTTTGTTATAACTTGCAGTAGGAATATAAATGTTTCTGGTTGTTTTTCTGTCTCCGTCCGACAAACACAGACACAGCCTCAGAGTACTTCAAAGAGCTAAGGTGCCTTTTATTACTTGTACCTTATTTTCACTGATGGGCCAAAGAGGAGGCAGAGAGGGTTTGATGACACACCGCTGCAGAATCACAGCCTTAGTCGTCACTCTTAACTCATGCAGCCGTCCCACTCATCAGCCATTGTGGTCAAATGTGGAATTACAGCTCAATAGTGGGATGTGTCACAGTGTGCAGGCTGCAGACACTCTTCCTCTGTGTTCACCTGAGGTGATGGTTCTCTTTGTTTGTTTTTGTAGTGTGGTTGCTAAGACATTCATTAAGTCTCGATTTGCACTTTGTTATTTTCTACTGAAGGACAATTGTCACCGACACATTCACAGCTACAGCTTCAAATCTTCACCAGACTTCATTTAAAACTTTATTTAAAAAGGAAAATGAAACTGCAAATCAGTGCAGCATTACTCCCCATGCTGCACTTTGATCCACTAACTCTATGAAACTAAATTATAAGCTAAACTTTGGTCAGTTTTTCTTGACATTTTTCTGTATTCAAAATTCAATTTGAATTAGCGACAAAAAAACAGGTGAGAAACACTGACACCTAGCGGCTATTATTGGTCTTTCTGAAGAAAAAAGATTTATATTTATATTTCTTGTTTTTTAAGGATTAATTATAATCACATCTGGGATTACGCCACACACTTTCTGTTTGATCAGATTTAAAATTTAAATTGTTTGACATTTTATGACATACACCTTCAGTCAGCCACTCTATAATAGAAAAAAAACAAAACAGAATCTTCCACTTTACCTTGGAGCGTTGCTCACGCTTATCTCGCTGCAGTGACCTGAGTGCCACATTTCACTTCCTTCAAACAGACCTCACTCGGAACCGATGCAGCGTTAACCCATCCGTCTTTGTGCAGGTGTTGACAGAGTCATAAATGTTGTTGTTTTTTTCTGCAGCGTTCTACATAAATGTAACACTTGTAAACACTGTCACTAAATGATGTACAGACACCGCAGAAATATTACAATGCAATAGGTCTATCATACAAATGTTATACTAATTAATGTATTTTGCATATATGCATGTCTCCTACGGCTGTGGGGAGCGGGGGTTATTTTAATCAGATTTTACTTGGTTTCACTGTGTACATTTTTTATTTACAACAAGATATTGACAACTTTCACTTTCTTAGTGTGTTTGCAGCTGATTTTGTTTTTGTTTTGTGTTGTGTGTGTACATATATATTCCATGTTCGTAAGCAAAGCTGAAACAATAGCCATGTTGATGAGATGTAATGGTTTTGCTCCACTTTTCCTGTAATTACAGGACCTTACCAGTAGTTTTGTTCCTCTTTTAACTAATTTGGTTTGAGTCCCTTTAGTCGCAACCTTTTCATCTATTTATTGTCTATGCAGAAGACAGAGCATGAGTTTGATATCGAATTTTTTCATTTTTTTTTCTTATCCAGTTTTTCCCAAACTTATTTGAGCCACAGCATTTTTTAAAATTAAGAATACTGTGCACCTGACATTTAAAAATGGTTACTAAAAATTAAATATAATATTTTCTGGTTCACAATTTACTGATTCAGTGTGAAACCTGGGCCTGTTTGGTTGAACACACTGCTGATCTACTCACAGGAATTGAAGGAACGCACAAAAAGATTTTTCAACAACTCTGCTTCATAGTTTTTATAGCCATGTCCTGCCCTCAGTGGGAGAGTATTTAATTGTTCTGCCTGTAACTGTCCAATAAACATAAGACAAATGATTTACCCATTAGGTGATAATATGTCCAATGGTTCACCTGGTGATCTCTCATGTACAACAGGAAAAAGTTATGTTTACTAACTATGGAAATACATGAAGACTTTAAACAAACAGCATGGGCAAAAGAAGGAAAAATACGCCTGAAAGCCAGAAAAACGTGAACGTTATAACATTATCAATTTAGTAACGTTATCAAAGTTAATAGTTCTTAGACAAATTGGAAAGACAATCTTAATTTAAAAACCAAACTATTTACTCATCATCCATATAATTTTATATGAAATACGTATTTCAGTCTAAACACAGTTCAGTTTAGGAGGAAAGAGATAGATGTTAAAGGAATACAGTCAGTGACAAGAAACAGTTGTAAAACACTTCTTCTGCTATCAAAATGTATAATCATCCAAACTTAGTAAATGCCAATATTATGCTCTCAGTGTTATTTTATACCCATTCTGCCCTGTTATTGATGAAGATAATCACATATATGTAAGTCACTGGCAAGGACAATAGTGGGGAATAAAATGATTTGAATGAATTGAGGGGCTGAGTCTTTTATTTTTAATTATTGTGGACTACATTTTAAGCATCTGCCTGATCGGACACCAAACGGCAGTGAAAAAGATGAGGGAAACAATACCATGCCGAACCGAAGGTAGCAGACGCGAGCTCAACGGTTGTTGCCGCATGATTTAACGTAAATAATATCAATTGACATTAATATTACTATATTAATTAATGTATTAATTAATATTATTATATTACGTTTTTTAAACCCAAAGTAAAACAAGCCATGTCAAATGAAAACAAAGCTCGCGAGAATTAAAAACGCTACGTCTGAAAAAGGTTTTCTGGGTTCGATTAGACGGGTTTGTGTTTTAAGTGGCTGGTTCGATTTGTCCTTCTGAAAGACGTTGCAGTGTCTCCCTCAGTGACTTGGTTTTCAATGTATTTATCGTGATTTAAAAAAAAAAAAAAACCAAAAAATATGTTCGTAAGTACTTAATTGTATTGCTTTTCTCTTGTTTACACTGCTTTCTGCCGTGGGTTGTTGTACTCGAGTTGTTATCCAATCATATTTCAGCCATTACGTGTTGCCATGGATAAATAAATCTGCCCTACGGTCTTCAGTATTGCGCGCGCATGGAAGATAAAAGAAATGGCAGCGAAATTGTTTTGGTCTTTAACCAACTTAAAATCTAAGTTGGCGACACCATGGCCTTCTAACAGTTGCGTCGGTGTTGGGTGATTTGATTGGACGGCCAAAGAACACGTATCAAATGAAGCTTTATCTGCTTCCGTTGCGCAGATGTTTTCAGTCTAAAGATAATTAAAACTCATGTTAATAAGTTCGACAGAACAGACTGGGCTTTCAGCATTAGCATGTAGCTAATTAGCATGAGTTAGAAAATAACTTATTAGTAGAACTGGAACGCACGGAAAAGCTGTACACCAGATTAACCGAACTCTTTTTAAGGAAAGAAGGGGATGGTTTTTAGTACACATGTTCGAAAGTGTTGGTGAGTACATACATTTAGTATATTGTCGTTGTATTGTGTCATTTTAGGCACATTTTGTCGTGGATTTATGGGTTTGTTGCTTTAGTAATAGCGTTATTAGGATTAATAACTCTTCTCAGCTCAATACAGGGAGTGTAAGTTTTCATAGAAATCGCCCTGTTATTCATTTTTCATTGACAATTTACAGGCTATTTTTGATTCTCACGGTAATACAGGACAAAGTGCGCCTCACAACTGTACTGCTTTAAATACACACAAATCAACAAATTAGATGTACATAACATAAGGAGTGTACTACTTTAAACAGAAAAAAAGGTTAAACAAATTTAAGTGTAAAAGTATTTATTTACAATGAATTGACAGTAACATTTGAGGCAAGCTGTTTTTCTTATGGAAGATAAAGGAAAGGAAAGGTAGAGAGGTAGGTAACAGAAGCATATTTGAATTCAAGTGCACGCTTGCCCTCTAGAGGAAAAGTCCACCATTGTACCTACATTTATAAAACTGCAAAGAAAGATTAAAAAAGCAAGACAGACCAACAGATAGTTTATGGAAACCGACTCAACCAGAATAGAACCATATACACAATTCTATAGAGGACATTTGATTGGCGTAAATCAGAAATCAGGGTCAGCTGCCTTCATTAAGTGGGATCCCTGTCGACCCTCAGTGTTTGGGAAACATGTCCATTTTAAAGATAAAGTCACTTTCTCTTATACAACACTATCTGGCCCTGTGCTGCAATGGACAACTGTGGAGGCTGTACACTGGGATTGACTTCTGCCCCCCATGTTACCCTGAAAAGGATCAAGCAGTAAAAGACGTCCCTCTTCCAGACCTTATTTTTCACTTCAGTGTTGGCTGTAGTCTAAGATTAATCTGTGACATGACACCGAGTTCAGTGACACAAATTCCAGCCAATTAGCCAACAAAACATTTTTACTGTCATTTTACATTGAAACAGCAGTTGGCGTGACATGTTTAACCCTGCTCACCACTGGCTTTAAGTAGTTTTGTTATATATAAATTTAGTTTTCAAAGCAGGGCCTGTATATAATTTTTCTGCTTGTTTTAGGCTTTTCATAAAATACGTTTTTTTTTTTTCATTTCTAACAATAAACCACATCTTTGCAGTATGATACATTTTACAAGCTGTGAATTGCTTTTCTGGGTTTACTTGAAAATATCAAACCTGTACAACCTAGATGAAAATCACCTATGAGGGTCAATCAGGATCATCTACAGTATACAGCAGTTGTGTCCAATGGCGTCATTAAAGCGCAGACACAGTTTGGGTTTGTAGTTTTCAAGGTAAAGCAGCTGCTTAGAATTCAAGGCCCCACGACGCTTCATTCTAATGAACTGCACAGCGTCTTCGTAATCCATCCCACACTCAATCAGAGCCAGCGCCACCAACAGTGGAGCCCGTCCCAGTCCCGCAACACAGTGCACGGCCACGCAGCAGCCCGGTTCCTGGTTAAACTTAGTCTGCAGCAGGTTCAGCCAATCATTGACCACTTGATCTGGGGGAGGTGAGCCATCATCAAATGGCCAGTCTAGAACTTGGATGCCTTGTTGTTCCACTGGTGTCTTGTCATATGTAGCAGAACACACTCTCACCAAGGTGTTGACACCATGTGACTTCAAATCCTCAATAAACTTTCCCAGTTGGGAATTCGTCGTGGTGTGTGTGATGAGGAACCTAAGGCATCCAAAGGAGATTTCTACTGGAGGGAGTCGGTTCATTTTTGGACAAAATTAAAAAGAAAAAGTTAAAGGTAAAAAGTAAATGAAGCAAATAAAAAGAAAACAAAAAAACGTGGATCTGTCTTTTCTTTTGTTGGAAAGAGAAGAAAAACAAACATTTCTTGACAACAGTGCCAAGAAATGTGCTGGTTGAAGAAAAGAAATGGAATGAAGACTGGAGGACGGTTCAACAAGGGCAGAAAAGAGAACTGTTCTCCCTGCCTTTCAAATATTTTAGCCCATTTACAGATTACTTGAGTGGTAGAACAGAAGTGCAGTAAAAAGTAAATACAAGAAAAGTATTGGTTTAATTCCTAATCCTTTTCTACAGAAGGTTGGATTGTCTTTACCAGTGTTGAACAAAGTTGCAGGAAGGCCCAGTGTGAGTTTGTGCTCAACCTCTGTCTTCTGGTTGCTTGTCCACAGAAGTCATCTGGTGAGGATACTGGCAGAACTCCCCAGCAAGTGCTGCAAATGCTCTGCATGTACAACTGTGACCAGATCTGAGCAGATGGTTCATGGTACACCATTGGTGAGTAGGATGATGCCCCTCTCTGGGGTGATGGCTGGCAGCAGCTGTGGAGATTGCTTGGTGAATCTAGTTCTCTGTAGCTTAGACTCAACCTGTTGGAGTTACAGGGCTGGGCTAGGCTTGCCATCAATGAATTCTGACCAAATGTTCCGGAAGTCTAAAAACAAACTCTTCAAGTCTTTCTGACTGTTTTTGAATGCTGTTGTTGTTCTTTACGTAGCCCCAAATACAGAGTAACAGCATCTGTAATCAAAGAGTTGATTACTTATCGGTGTCCTTTTCCATTGGCAAGGAATTCATTCTTCTCTGCTCATGGTTTTTTTTCTTCCAGTTAAACAGCTGCCCAATGCTTTAATTTTACTTCAAAGGATGCTTCAAAGGACCAAAAACCTATTCTTTAGGTTTTATCAAAGTGGCATAACACAGTTGTCATATTTTGAAGTTGTCATTAGCTACAGCTACATCTGAAAACAGTACACAGTACAGTATAGTCATTGCTGACTATGTTATGGTGTGTATTATTACACATCCAGACTAAGTGCTCTAATTTGTCTAATATAATCAGACATAACAGAACAGGATGTGAGAGTGAGTTAAAAGAAAAAAGATTTACAGGAAACTGCTGTCAATGCGCAGACTTCTTGATCATCTAGAGAGGTCCAATATTAACTTTTTGCCAATATCAGATAATTTTCAAACACTTAAGTTCTAATTTTTACCAAGACCGATATATGCAGCCATTTTGGGCAAAGGACACCTTTCATTGTGTGCAGTTTTGGTGTGTTACAATTAAATAATTCACTTCAAAACTATTTAAACCAAATAGCCCAATATCCATTGGCTGATATTATCGGACATCCGTAATCTGGAGTATTTTCTAGAAGCTCTGTAATTGTGCCACAATTCTTTCATTCTTTGCTGATCCTACAATAACTTTTACCAAACTGTAAATCTAGATGTTCTTGTTCCAGCTGGATTATTTGTCCAGGTCAGGTCTTCTGAAGGTCTTAGACAAGTCTTTTGATTTCACCAAGGCGTTCACTACTTAACACAACCACACTTACAAACCTCATGTATCCCTTTTTTATTTGTTGAGCCTCATATTCAACAACATGAGAGTAAACAAACATGTTTAATGATGATCATTCAGAAGAGAACAAGTCGGCACTTTTATCACAGCACAAGTCTCAGGCCAAGATGCGTCCACTGTAAAATATGTCACACTTAAACGTATTTAAAAGTTTTTATCCGACTAAGATGGACTATCAGTAGACAGAGCAGCTTAAGATGTAATGGCAGTGAGGTTGAAGTTAGCGTTTAGACAAAGTAGAGACAAGTGTTGTGATTGAAAATATACATTTTTATAAAAGTCAGAAAGTGTACCATATGCTGCTGAAATATAGAACGATGACCAGTCTTTGAATATAAAAGTATTTTGTTTTAGCTTGTGACAAAGAACTGCAGTGTTTAAAGGCACAAATGTGAAAAAGACACCATGATGTCCTGAGTTATCTGAATGGGTCAGAAATATTCACACCTGTTATTTCAGGCCACATGAAAGGGAGGGGGTTGGGAAGGAAGTCCCTCTTTGTTTGGGAAAATAGTTTTTGCAGAGTTGCACATTCTTTAATAAATGCAACCGTTAAATAGTAATAATATCTGCCTACTTGCAGTCTTTTTACAGGACAGACATGTGCTTGCTCTACCACAAGAGGGCAGGCTCTTTTAAAAAATCGTTTTGGCAGTGCTTTTATGCCGCTTGGTCTTAAACAACATGATTTGGTGAAATTGTGGCACTCTGTTCACAGTCTTTGGGTTTTGACTGTAAATGAACACTGAAATGATTCATTTAGTCAGTAAAAATTGTTCGAGACAAAGTCATCGGTGCAATGTAGTGGAAATGCAGCTTTCTGGGTTTGACTGAACTGAAGCTAAGGACAAACCATTTAGATGTGACTTTTAGTCTTCAGGCAGCTGTAGCCGTTCTGTTAGCTGCCACTGTGCTGCCTCACATTAGGTGAGTATTTTATGTGTCTTGTATTTACTCACAGGTACATTTTTAAATATGATATTCATCACCGCAAGTCCAAACATTAAAGCTTTTGTGACCACATGAAGGCTAAAGAAAAAAACAGTCAGAGCAGTGACACACGTCACCTCTCGACATCATCATCATCAGGACATGGCTGGAAAACACTTTCCGAGTCCTAAACATTCTCAGACATAGTAAGAAGCATAACATAAATAGGGTCAACTGCAGTATTCACCACCTCCACACACACATACATCAACTGACACACTGGGTTTAGTAAAGCTGTATGTGGAAAAATGAGCAGAACAATGATAAAAAAACAGTGTACAAAGTACAGTCCATAGGTTCCAGTCTAAGAAGAATAAAAACTAAAACTGTTCAGAGAGAAGGTCACACAGTCTCTGGGAGACGGAGTCTTTGCTGGTCCTGAGGGTCAGTCGGTACATCTGTACAGAAAAACAGGCATTTGGCAATGACAACAATGTAGACTATGAGGGTAAGTGAAACAATTCTGAGACAAATTGCTGATCCTCCACCTAATAATACTAGTTATAATAGTTAAGTCAACACTTGTATAAGCAGTGTTTCTATGGAGAAATTCCTACTTTTTAGAGGAGCGATTTCCAACCACTAGGCCGTGGCACATTAGAGAGATCAGAGATCATCATTAGTTTAGTGCGTGTCTGTGGGGGTTTACCTGTGCTTGTACATTGGGCTCCAGCCGTAGGAGGCAGCCCACCTGAATGCTCTTGGTATGAATGACTCCAGCTCCAACAAAGTTTTCCTGATTGGGATCAACGCCTTCTAGCAGTGCAACACCAAAGCCTATGATCTTTTACCAAGAGAAAAACCAAAAGAAACTCATTAGAGAAAGCAAACCCATGGTTTTACACCACCCTCAGGATTGTCTAGGTCAGGATGTCAGACCATGACACAACGAGTTGTTGAGATTTTACATCTACCTTGGCCTTGGTAACTTCTGCATCCATTGGGTGTTTGGACTTGAAGATTTTTTGAACCTCTTGCTGAGGCCTGAGGGCACACAGGAAGAAATGGAAATATTGAATTTGACTTAATAATTCTCATGTTTACATATATTTGCACACTTGACCTGTTTACTGTGCCTATGGCATCTCAACACTGAGCTGTACACTGTAATCAATAATGGGATAAACATTAAAACAATGTCTAATTTCCCAAAATAAACAACACATTTCAAAACATCAAATAAATATTCTAACTTCGTTAGATTTTAAATGTGTCTCACAAAACAAAAAAGTTAATACTTTTTATGATTACTATTTACAGCTAAGGTAATTTTGCTTTTGTTCTATCTGCCCCATGCATGTGGGGGAGTCATTATAAACACAAAAAGTGATAACAATAGTATTCATGTCAAGGTGAAAACACTAAAAGAGTCTTTGATCTGAAAAAGTTGCCTTTCATGGATCAAAGACCATCTGACCCTTGTCATATCACTAACTATGTACAATAAGAGCATTATGTCAAACGTACTTATAGAAAAGTCCAATTCTAAGATATCTGACTTACCAGTGATGTGATTTCTGATGTTTAAAAATATGAGATAGTAACAAGGCTACTTATAAAAAATAAAAATAAACGAAAAGAGAGATTTGTAAAACTAGATAGTTCTGTTAGATCACACCGTTCAAAATGGACTACTGCTCTGAAACCGTTGTGGATGAGAAGATGTGGATGTCCTCCCCCGACTTCAGTGAGGACCAAGGTTCAAACCCAGACGACATGCAAAAACAGATTCTAATTCAAATGTCAAAGTTTGAACTAAATCGTCTCCTGATTGAGCACCAGATGAAGTTCAACGCTGAGAAAAGAAAGAACCAGGATGTGACTAAAGAGATGGAGGAGCTGAATAAACACTTGACAAGTCTGAGTGAAGAGAAGGATGTGAAAATTGCCAAACTGAAACAGCACATCCAGGAACTTGAGGATACTATTCGTGCAGAAAAAGACAGGAAAAAACAACCGGAGAATGATGACGAAAACTCCAGACTCTCTGCTGCGCTGGCCGAGGCCCAGAGAACCAGACAAGAAGTGATGGAGAGGATGACAAATCTAGAGAACATCATAAATGAGCTGCAGAACAATCCACTAAAAAAGAAGAAGACTGCGTGGAAACGTTTCATCCAGGTCTTACAGGACAACTGGAGGAAAGGATACTCTAAATGAAGGTTAAAAATTAAGAAGTTTTCAATCTTTTCTCAAACATTAATGCAACGCTACATGTTCACTGCTATTAAAGACCACTATAAAGAAGAAATCCACCAACCAATGAAACGACTTCATTAACTACTGCCCTTTAGACTCGTCGTCTCATCAAAATTGATCATTGGAAACGACTGACAAAAACAAAAGTTTTCAAAAATAAAAACACTTGTAAAATCAAATGACTTTTACCAGTCATTCTGATCCTCTAATCACCATGGTGGATGGAGGTTCTGATGGTCGGCACAAAGTTGTGAGGAGAAAATAAAATAAACTACTTTAAGAGAACAGGAAGCGTATTATATCAAATATACTAGTAATAAGATCCACCTCCATGTGGATGGTACTAGAATAGCACAGTAAACTGGGTGCACTTTCCACAGTTTGGCATAGACTCTGATGCATTAATTGTCTCCATGCTGATTAGACGACTACATCAGATTTCCCTTTATAAACAAGTGATCTGTAAGACTGAAAACAGGATGTGGGTTTGTGGTGTAAAGCTGTGCGACGCTTTGAGGTTGGCCTAATTCTAAGGTTCTCATCTGCCTTAAGGTTGATCCTTGTTCATGGGAAGTCTTAGGAAGTAACAATATAAGAAATATTTCAAACCACAATGAGAACTACTGATTCAGTATTTATACTGATGCTGATATCTGGGCTTGGCTTTACCAATCACTACCGATAACTCTACCAATGTGACACTGTTGTTGAGTTGATTATCTTTATAATATAACCTGACGCTTCCTCCCATTTTCCAACTTTTATTCCATTTTCCTCCACTGAAATACGGATGAAATGAACACTTACGCCCCCAGCTGTTTCCAGCGTTGAAAGAAGTCCTGTGAACTCATCTCTGTGGGCTGAAAAAACTTGTTCAGCATCACTGGCAGTTTCAGGGAGATGTTTTGCATCATTCCACCGTATCTGTGCACGCACACACGCACACACACACACACACAGTAACTGCCTTTGCTCTTAACAACGTGGTTTCAACCAGGTATCTGTGAGCTCTAATGCCAACCTGAACTGGACGTTGAGCACTGGCGTGTCTGTGAAACCTGACAAACATTCGATGTTGAGGATCTGTTGTACCTGAGCCCCGCCCTCAATGACCGGGTCTACAGTCTTGGCGTGGATATTTAGCTGTGAACCAATATGTCAAGGAAACTTTGCAATTTTTTCTTTGTGGATCTGATTGTTTTGATAATCTAAATGGTAAGAGAGGAGTAGAAAACAACCATAGGGTTGTAGATATTCCAAACCCAAATCTTTTCATGTGAATGTAACCATGTCCACCTGATTTGGTGTCCAGCTGCTCTGTGAGGGACTTGAGTATAGATTTATAGTAGGGCTGTACATGTTTTCTTACGCCATTAGGTGGAAAAAAAGCCAAAAGGATATGAGTCCTCAGAATATCAGTACTTGTCACTGATGTAGAGAAGTTGAGGAACTGTGTCGACGTCTTGTTCCCATAGAATACGTACATTCGTCCTTGAGTCAAAAACAATGACCACTGAGATCATTATATTATAACACCAACAGTAGTTTTATAAAATCTTTCTTTGTTGCTTGTTTCTAACATTTACAATGACAGCAATGACAGTTAATTTAATATTGCCACAACACCACATTTTTATGTTGTCAAATAAATACTGACACTGATGGAGCCACTCACCCAGGTTCTGTCTGTACTCAGACTTTAGACCAATCTGCAGAAGCTGATTCTCATAGATGACGCCATTGTTCTTACAAATGAACCTAGAACAAAGAAGAAGGACACAAGTTAATATTTTTAAAATGACTGTGTTAACGGCTTGTTTAACAGATAGATTATTATTAATCCCTTACATAAGTAAATAAATCAGAATTTAGTCCAGCCAATTCGAACTTTTTTAGCAGCATGTCCATGTTGTTGTTGTTGTTGTTTATGGACCTGGGAGTGGTCCATTTCATGCACATGGAATCAATTGCTGTATGTATGATCTCGGTGTCTTTGTTAATCAATTCAAGAATGCTGGCAGCTGTGATCCCACCTTGCAAAGTTTTCCTCCGACACTTCTGTGGCTGAAAAGGTTGAATTGTCAGAAAAGACATCGACCAGCAGAGTGTTGCCTGCTGAAGGGGTTGAGTTGAGATTCAGCAGGTCAGTGAAAGAAGGACTGGAAACCTGTCGTTGGAAAAGATGAGGATTATATTTAAGGTTTAATTATTATAAGATATTAACTCATGGATAGCACAGACTTTCACTTCTTGTCATAAATGTCTTTGGCTGCTATCCTGCACTCACAACAGCATGACAACTCAGTCTGCGTTAAAGTAAATACCACATATGTGGTCCTCCCACAGCACAATTAGCCACTACAATGGTTAGCCTTTCTTCCATGACAAAGTCTTTGTCTTGTCTTGAGGTTATTTTCCACAGCAACTTCCACCTCTCCTCGGGGGGTCCCTGGGTCTTCACCCGAGCAGATGTTATTACTCCAGCATGTTCTGGGTCAACTTCAGGACATACTGACCAGATTGTTGTGCTATCTGGAATGGCTCCTTTCAACATAGTTTGACCATGAGCAGCTCCTTGATCCTCCTCCACCTTATCTATAATTGAGTCAGACAACACTCCAAAGGAACTCTTTGAAGTGTTTCTCTTTCTTTAAAATGCCTTCTTTCAGAGTCACCTCAGTGACGCAGACCTGTCAGACCAGCAGCAGCTGAGTCCTTCAAATCTTTTGGGACTATAGTGCCAGGGACTAATGTACATCGTAAGCCTAGGTCTAATTCTATTTCCTTAGGCAGCCATCACTGACATTATATGTCCGTACCTCATAAATTCTCCTGTAAGACATTTTTGTGTTTTGTAGACTTAACACATTTTCTAGCTCTTTATCCTAATCTTTACAAAAATATGCTTAATCCTAATCCCTACCCTGATTCTGATTCTAATCCTTGACTTTTAATACCCTCTCACTCAGTGGAAATTTGCAAACAGTCCTCACAAATGTAGCTACTAGAAACACACATGAGAGACTGTTCTGTGATTGTGATAAACAGTACGTGACAATGGTAGATTCATTTGGCTCAGGACTGTAGGACATGAACATTGGTGCTGTAGGTCAGTCACCTCCTGACACCTGCTGTTTATTTGATCTGTACAATAAAATACCGTGGAGCCAGGAGAAAACATGAAGGTTGAAGAAGAGACAGGGCGGGGCCTGTTGGTTGGGAGAAGGTCGGCCACTAGTGGAGGAGAAGACTGGTGGATAGAAAAAGAAAGGAAAACAAGGAGGACAGAAGTGGTGTAAGGACAGTGGAAAAACAGACAGGAAGTGATGATCAGGAAAATATTAGATGATAGTGAGAAGACCAGAGGTGTTTATAAGAATATTTGTACTTTCTTTTTTTGTATATTTTTTTTATTTTTAAGTTCAACTTTGCTGCATTGTCCTCGTGGATTGAGAAGAACATCTGTTTAAATATTAACTTTAGTGACTGTTGAATCAAGTTAACATGGAAACAGGCCAATTTAATTACTTTTTTTTAAATTACTTTCTTTTTTTTTTTAGGAAGTTGGGTATGGCGTGTTGTCCCCTGTCATCACAACGTGGGGGAGTTACCTTGTTTGTGGCCTCAATTTTGTCACTGGGCTCAGAGTTGCCATTGCCGTTCACATTGACATTCTTTCTGGCTTCATCGATGTCAGGCAAGTTTCCTCGGCCCTTCTTCCTTTTCAGCTTGGCCAGAATTGACGACTCCCTCTCAGGGAAAGGAGGCATCTCTTCTAAGACAGTGGCCTGAAAGGGAACAAGTGTGAAAAGTGTGGATCTGCAATCGCCCTCATCTGTGCTTCACTGAAAAGACCAATAGACTCTTGAACCACAAAATTAATTCACAAACCAATATGTCGGTGCTGGCGATGCAGCTCAGCCTCAGGTACTCCACAGCTCTCTGCTGAAGCTCCACGTCTGCGTTGCGGAGTTGACTGTCGGAGCGCAGGACATCCTGGATGGTGGCTTTAATTTCTGGAAACAAATTGATGAATTTGATGTAGGCGGACAGCAGCAGTGCCCGAGTTGGTACGGAGCAGAGATGGAACTTGGAGTGAAGGAGGTTGAACTGGACCAGAGGGCTGAAGAAGGAAGAAGAGAAGAAAACATCAATGCTGACACACTGTTTTTGTTGTACAGTATACTGCCCTTATAGAGCGTAGATGTTTTGTTTTTCTCACCTGGAGCGTGAGTCACCAGCAATCAGGTTTCCAAACTCTCCCAGTATGTAACCACCGACCTTCACCAGGTTCTCATGGCAGGCTGGGGCCTGTAGCGCCTTCAAGAGTTTGCAAAGTGGAGTTCAATTAGCAAGTGGTTGTAAAACGATGTGAAGACTGATGTGGGATTTAGTCACTTAACCAATTATTATCAAACATATTAATGCGTAAACCCCTAATTCTTAACTGAACTTTCATCGTGGTTATTCACCTCAAAGACCGTCTTGGCAGCGTAGCCTTGGACATCGTCACGATTTATGACAATCTGAATGACGCGATACCAGACCTCTTCACTGACGTAGTCACCTGCTATGCGGATCAGGTTCAGGATGGTGTCCACATACCAGGTGTAGTCCACAGCATATTTTTCTGCCAAGATGGCCACCTTCAACACCTGGAGAAGAGAGAAGAGTTGAGGTGAGCTGGAAAGTGACCAACAGAAGACTGAAAGTGTATGAAATAATGACCTACTATTTCCTCTCTGATTGAGTAGTCAGCAGTTTCCAGGTAGCTTAGCATCTCTGCCACAATCTGCTTAGCATTGCTGCGGTCACACATTGCGTAGAGCAGATCAACGGCCCGTTGACGTACGCTAACATCTCGCTCTGTCTGTCAGGTAAAAAGAATACAAAAAAATAAATTATGAAAATAAAGTTGCACTGAAGGCTAATTCTCAGCACAGATGCTACAATAGCACAGCACGTGGATCAGTACTTTCTTTACCTACATCACAGACAACAGACTAACCTTCAGGGCATTGATCACAGTTTCCATATGTGTCTTCACTGCCTCATGTGAAAACTCTGAGCTGGCCAACGTGCACATACTCTCTAAGGCCAAGTAGCGAAGGTTGGTCTCCCTGTGTTGCAGGAACTGACCTAACTGGTTGCAGGCCCGTACCAACAGGGTGGGCTCACTGAGAAAGAGAGCACAAGACAGAGCTTTGAACTCCTCAATTCAGTCATGTTGGCAGCACAAAACACAAGAAGAACTTCAGTGATCTTTCCTAATGAAGTCTAAAAGAATGGTAGAGAGTTGGTGTTGTGATGGTGGTGATCAACCTGTCATGGTGAATGATGAGGGCGATGGCTTCAAACAGGACGGCATTCTTTGCGTTAGAGTGCTGAACCTTCTTGGACTTGGGCGGCTCCTGGGCTTTGTTGAGGATGGTCTCCAGGCACTCTGTGAGTCGACTTCGTAACGCTGCGTCCTCTGCAAAAACATGGACCTCCATTTGAATGTTTGAGCGCCACTGTATCATGTTTTTATAAAAACGTGGTCTAAATGCTATGACATGTCAAAGTAAAGACAATCTGAAGAAGAGTCAGAACATGTTGAGCTTTGTTTGTCTGAAAAGAAGAGTCAGAACATGTTGAGCTTTGACTGTTTGTCTGAGTACAAGAAGTCAACATTCTGGTCGTAGGTGATTTAGATTTAAGTCATTGTACATATAAGTCTCACTCTGATTGGATGAAATGTAATACAAGGATGAACCACAGAAACAGGAGCTTCATGGTTTTCCAGGTGATTTTCTGTTTCGTACCAGGGGGAGGGTAGCACTGCAATAGGCGCAGCAGCTTGACAGACAGCCAGGGGGCAGCAACAAAATAGTACGTGTAGTCCTGAAGATCGATGGAGGCAGAGGTCACAATCTGAACCAGGAAAAAAAAAAAGAAAATGAAATTATTTAGAAGGTTGTTTCAGAGCAGATGGTGTTACATCACAGACAAACACTCACTCTGCTGAGACGGGCGATGGCGAGTGAGACCGAAGTTTTGAAGTCATCAGGACTCTTCAGAGCCAGAGTGGTGATGAGGCTGGTGGCTGCAGTGACCACACCCTGGAAACAGACCAATCCAGCAATGTAGTGGAAAAACACTGGTTTATTATATAAAAAACAGCAAGCGGTCAAATTTTCTTTTGTTTCCACTCTGTGACTTTACTCTATTTTGTGCATCGACCATGTGGATGAACATTTGATTAAGTGAATACACTGTCTGAACCAGTTCTTACCAGGTGCTGATCATTGAGCAGATGCACAACTCGTGCTGTCCATTCACCCATGGGGACCAGGTCAGGAGATGTCCTGTTGAGTCTCAGCAGACACAGTGCTGCACTCTGCTTCACGCTGTCCACAGTGTCTCTGTGGGAAGAAGCAGTAGAACTGTATTCATCTCAAACCTCAACACTTTTCTTCAATCTGGTTTATCTGGTGAAGTGGTGCAGAATCAAGATTCAAGGTTAAAGCCTTAGAAAATGTCTATGCATTAGTGTGAATGTACAAACCCTGCCACCAGGATTCGTGGGACTTCAGAAGCGAAGGCCTCGGCCATTTCCCTGCTGCCTACGTTGGCAATGCAGTGCAGAGCCAGGTTCATGAAGGTGGGGTTGCGGCTGGAGAGGTCATTCTTAATGCCGTTGTTGATGAGGCGGATCAGGTCACTGTTTGAGTTCACCAACACTGAGATAAAGAGATAACCCTGAAACGAGAACATACATATATATATGTTCTTACTTCAACGATGCTCATGGACAGTCCAGTCTGTCAGTGTTGTTGATTTTTTGGAATTCTGGGATGAAATAATTGATCTGATTCCTCAGAATTATTCTGTAAAACTGCATGCACTTGATGACCCACAATTCAACAACCTCAGTATTTCCATTCTTTTGTCATTATATTAATTGAAAAATAATTAATGGTTTCCATTGATTTCATAGGAGCATGCTGCTGTGATAATTATATTTTTTACACTTCTATACAAAAAATGACACCAACAAAATTACTTGTTTGACACAGACATATGATACACATAAATAATATTAACCACAATAACCTGATCATGGTATAGTTCCATTTTTGAGATAACTGTGAAAGATAAAATGTATTTATTTATATATATTTTTTAATTTATACAGTGGTTAGATTTTGTACTTTCTGGAATACACGTCTCACCACAGTCTTAGTTCCATCTGTCAAAAAATGAAAAGGAAAAATTCATATAAAGGTCACATCAGTCTAGAAGTTACATTTATTTATTATATATATTAATATTTATTTATTATATTTATTTTTTAAACAGGTATTTCACAAGAATGAATTGTTCAAAAAGCTGGAACTGGACTGCTCATTTACTGCCGTTTGTCTTTCTGTTCTAGCAAAATACAGGAAAAGCCTTTTAACTTTATTAAAAAATTAATCACGTTTAATTGGCTAATTGTGACAGCTAATCTCCACAGTAATGACAGGACACACTCACTATCTGCTTTTCTGTGTACTTGTTGGAGCTGAGCAGGTTGACAGCCTCCATGTGTCCAAAGTCGATGTCATGGCCCAGGAGGAAGATGAAGAGCAGCTTGCAGATGTATTTTTTCTTACTGTAACCATCTAGGGCCTTGTCTCCTGTTAAAAATGTAATAAATAGACACATGCAGTCAGTGCCTTGCATTGACACCACGTCACCGGTTCTTTAAATGCCGTTGTTCTGAAACAGTACCCCCGAGCCTGGCCTGTAGTGTGAATGTCACACAGTTGTACTGCACACATTTACAACCAGACCCCACACCAAGTTCACTGTCTCACAACAAGGACATGGTTATATTTCCACAGTGTTTTACAATGTTATTGACACACACTGCTCTGTGTTGTCTGACTGTTACAGGTTAGTGACACAGTGAGGGGACAATGTCATTGTCCACATGTCCTCCGGCAGCCATGTCAAACAGGAAAAAGGTTTGTTTTACTTTGCTCTTAGAGAAAATAATCAGTGTTGTGTAGGGCTGTGTTAATAAAAAAACTGATACAGTGCTGTAGAATATCGACATGGTATTGTGAAACAAAGTATCGCAATATATCGATATTTTCTTACACCCCTAGGGTTGTATGACGGTAAACTATAATCGAATCAACCTTTTACTACACGTTTACAAAAACGATAACTGTTTCCTGTGCGCTGCACCCACTGACTTTATCTTTTACCCAAAGGAGAGTCAGCATGTTATAAACTTCAGTTTCCTGTAGGAAACAGTGACAGGAAGAAAAAAATTGTATTGACAGACCATTAGTTTAAGGACTACAGTCTTCACTTCCTGGATAGGTCAGAAAGATTTGACTGAAATTGTGGACATCACTGACACTTGTTGATGTCTCACTCTAACACTTCTCTAAAACATCAAAATCAAGCTTTTCTTTTACATTTTTCACAGATAGTTAAACATGTTTACCTACCTTTGAATTTGGAGCGGATGTTGGCAAGTTCCTTGTTTATTCTTTTAATTTCTGCCTCTTTACTTTTACCTGCACACAAATGAAAACAGGTTTTTCTTTACAGGACATAAAAAATCTCAACACATAAAAACTCAAATATGCTCATTGCAGAAATAAAAAAAAAAAATTACGTTGTTTACTGTCAAAAAATGATTTAAAACGGTTGAGGTTAACATGAATGCCAAACAGAAAAGGCTTGGAAAAAAAACAGCTGAAGGAAATGGAAAAATAGGAAATCTGTTTTTACATTTTACACGGTTGATGCTGACACTGCTGCTGTTGCTTTTTTAACATGTCCTAGCATGATATCTATGCTACTT